ACCTCACAACTGAGCCGTTCAGTTGTTCACGCATATACGGATTGTACGACAACAAAGGTGATGGAGACTGTGGGCCTGTAACATGCAAGTTTCTTGAGATGCATGCTCATGGCATGGAGTACGGCGACATGGCAGCTCTTACTGATGAGGTGGTCACTCGTATTAGGAAGGTTTATGCTATGGACACTTATGCTGCTTTTGTTGAAGGGGAAAACGAGTTCTAGTTGTTTGTTTAAAGACTACTTATATAAGTTGTGAAATATTGATGTAATCTGAAATGGTAGGATATTATGTGTGTTGGGTACTAGTTATGGAATTTTGCAACGATCTCATGATTTATTAACATATTTAGTTATCCACAAAAATGTTATACATCAATTATGATTTGCAAAAGTTTATAGAAATTAAAGTCTGTACAACCACCTTAAACAGAATACTATCTGTACAGCAACATGGCTGTACGGAATTATATCTGTACAGCCATGTTGCTGTACAGACAACTTCAAACAGAGTACTAGTTGTACAGCAAGATGGCTGTACGGAACGATATCTGTACAGCAGAATGGTTGTACAGAAGCATATTTGAAGAATAAACAGAATACTATCTGTACAGCAACATTGATGTACGGAATTATAGCTGTACAGCAACATGTTTGTACAGACAACTTAAACAGAATAATATCTGTACAGCAACACTGATGTACGGAATGATCTGGGAGTTATTGCCTTGAACTTTTTATCTTATAATACGCATTTGGTAAAAGGCGAAGACGAGTTAAAACAGAGTACTAGTTGTACAGCAAGATGGCTGTACGGAACGATCTCCTGATTTATTAACATATTTAGTTATCCACAAAAATGTTATATATCAATTATGATTTGCAAAAGTTTATAGAAATTAAAGTCTGTACAACCACCTTTAACATAATACTATCTGTACAGCAACATGGCTGTACGGATATATATATGTACAGCCATGTTGCTGTACAGACAACTTAAAACAGAGTACTAGTTGTACAGCAAGATGGCTGTACGGAACGATATCTGTACAGCAGAATGGTTGTACAGAAGCATATTTGAAGAATAAACAGAATACTATCTGTACAGCAACATTGATGTACGGAATTGTAGCTGTACAGCAACATGTTTGTACAGACAACTTAAACAGAATACTATCTGTACAGCAACACTGATGTACGGAATGATCTGGGAGTTATTGCCTTGAACTTTTTATCTTATAATACGTATTTGGTAAAGGCGAAGACGAGTTGTAGTTGTTTGTTTAAAGAATAAACAGAATACTATCTGTACAGCAACATCGCTGTACGGATTTATCGCTGTACAGCAACATGTTTAAAGAATAAACATAATACTATCTGTACAGCAACACTGATGTACGGAATGATATCTGAACTGCAACATTGCTGTACGGAATGCTATCTGTACAGCAAACAATATTGTTTTCTAAATAGGTAGTGTTGGATTTCCTTTATATTTGTATAGTTTATTTATGAGGGTTTTGGTTTGAGTTAGGTTAAAGTGATAAGCGGACCCCTTATTTAGTTATCTATAAATAAGACAAGACATTTCCTACATAGGTTAAAGACATTTCCTTTTCTCTATTACTCACGCTTAGCACACATCAAACTCTTGCTTCACTTAACTCAAAATTATGTGTTTGAGTGATTTACCGGATGATATATTCCATATCATTACGAAGAAGCTTGGAGATGAAGACGCCAGACACCTAGGCCCGCTACTGCTCACAAACAAACGAGGAAGGGACAATGCGTTATCAAAGGAGATCCTACAGTCAGCAAACATAACTCCTCTAACCCTGGACCCCGTCGACATATATCCAGGTGGGGTTACTAGGACCTTCTTTACCCGTTGTTTGGACGTTGAGAATCCTAAGGCAATTTATTATGAATCTTTGCGTCTAATAACCCGAGAGGGTGATATCTACGGGTCCCTTGCTTTGCTAAACCAACTTGTGCCTACTTATGAGCATGCCACTCTCACGTATGCAATGTTTCAAATGTGTGCTGGGACGGGTGATATTGCTGGGGCAACATTCGACCAAATTTTTGAAAATTTGGGTACGCGTCTTTGGTTCGATAATTACTCTCCCGAATTGGAAGATGAGTGTGAAGCTTTGATTGACACACTATTATCATTTGACCCTCTTGGTGAAGATACCTTTGGGCCAATTTGGGAGTTTGCTTATTCTAAGAAGATAAGCATGCCTGATTGTGCTTATTGGCATGGGTACGATTATTATTGCGAAGGATGTTACATCTACAATGCAGCATTACGTATATGTGAACTTCTCTAGAGTTTCATGTATTCAAGAAACCTTTTAATGTTAAAAACTAATATTTAAAATTCTGTGATTGTATAATTATGTAACATTTTGTAACGAATGTTGTATTAATTTCTTATGTCAGTTTAATTAAAATCATACATAATTATACAATGAGAGACATAATAATTTAATTATACATAATTATACAATGAGAGACATAAGAATGTTGTATCAATGACCCCCCATTAGTCTTTCATAAATGACTACTTCTATTGATATAAATAAATAGATTTGTGTCTTTCTTCCTCTGACACAACAATAATGAATAAGTCTGCATGGCCAAGGTGTTGCTTTTAAGAAAGTAAAATTGCAAAAAAGGAGAGGCAAGGTTCGATGACATAAAGAATAAAACGAGTAAGATTCGTAAATCTCGTAAGGGGAGTTGTTTGGCATCAAATCAACAATATAATCTTCCAACCATATTTTTGTTATCTAATGTTTATAAAAAATCTGATTAAAAAGGGGATATAATCATATGCTAGTCATATATTGAAACCTAATAATTTAATTAAACATTCCCTCCAAATTTTAATTAATTTGCCAATGAGACTTATGAAATTAATACAATGAGACATAATAATTTAATTATACATAATTATACAATGACATACATAAGAAATTAATACAATGAGAGAGTAATGAGAGACATAAGAATGTGACCTTCGTAAAGTTAGAAAACAAACAGACAAAATCAAATATATCTTTGTGTTTTCTTACAAATGTAATTATTACTGTCAGGGAGTGTAAGACTAACATCTTTTAATAATTTTCTAAGTACAAGTCTAATCGTTTATCAGTGTAGACATACTCAAGTGGCTGAAAAGTCATAAGTATCAATCATATCATCCAATAAATAACTTTTTACTTCCCCAACTTGTTCATTTCAACACAAGAATCTATCACAAAAGCATTGAGATAATATCCACAACAGTGGTTCGAAAAGACAACAGGATTTTTTTTGAAACAATATCTTTAATATTATACATCACAATACCCTAAAACGACTAAATACAATATTTCTAGCATATAGTAATTAGCTAAAATGAAAAGCGCTATAATTATACAAAGCAAATAATACAGAAACAAGAAAATTACATCGGCAAAACCTAACATAATTTAAACATCTTACAACTTGAAAAATTGTCGAGGATGATTTCATAGCATTTGACATACCTTCCTTGACATCCACCATAGATAACACTCGTCGCACAAGTTTTCATAACCTCCACATGCAAGGCGACAGTCCATGGCACAATCCGCCGATGGGATGCCCCTGCAAATAGGATAGAGATACGTCCTCCAGTATGAATTGTTGCTCCTTCTTCGATATGGACGCAAATCACTAAGCAACTCCTCTCCCCACCGTCTGACAGCCTCCGTCCCCAAAGCAGAATGAAATTCCCCAAATAGCTCAAGATAGTGTACAGCCATACCCTCATTTCCATCACAAATGGAGAACACACCACATGCTAGAGTTGCCACCCCATCCTCCGGGACCAACTGAGCTAGAAGTTCAATACCCGCCTTGATGTCACAACCTTCACACACCACCCTTAGACCTTCATAGTAGATTGCGGTCTTGTTACCAGCCTTGAGACATCTCTCAAAAAAAGGGCGGTGCCGGCCTTGCTCTAGACGGCCGGTTATCTGACTATGGAATGTGTAGAGGTCGCTTGGGTCAGAACATAGGGAATAAATGCATGCATCCCTCAAAACATCGTCTCTGTACACCACATCTCTTCCCCTTCGACCGGCCTTCAATATAGGGCCAAGCAACCACCAGCGATCATCAGCCACAAGCTTAACGATTTTTGCAAACAACTCATCAGGGATATCTGGCATTTGGGTTCCCATTTTTTTCCTTTTTGTGAGAAAAAAAATTAAGAGTAGTTTTCTTCTTTTGGGATTTTTATTTTGATTGCAGCTTTGTTGTATATATAATGCGTTAGGTGTAGTAGTTAAGGAAATTACGGTTGAGATGAATTTAATCCTCCTATCAAACATATTTATAACTTGTTGAATTTTTTATAATTCAACAAGTTAAGTAAATTATTTACCTCCCATAACTGTACGGATCTGTCAATGTAAATTGTAATATATCATTCACGAAAATAATTGACAAAATATGAATTAGTGGCGAATTAATTATATATAGTAAGAAACATGATGACTAGCTAGTCACAACTAAAAACCATATGGCTTTAGAGTCCTTTAACATCTTCTTGAGGGAAATCTGACCAGCAAACGTATTTAAAACCGTACACCAAACGTAAACCAATATCTGTACAGCATTCCTGCAGGTACGTCTGTACAGAAAACATACAACAATATCTGTACAGTAGACGTACGTTTGAAATCTGAAAATCTGTACAGTACCAATTCTAGTAACGACTGTACAGCAAATTATGTGTACAGCACTCCAACAACTACGGCTGTACAGCAAACGTACAGAAATATCTTTCAAGTAGACGTACACTGAAGACAGCTTGATTGTTGAACTGTACAGAGACGTGTGTATGTTTGTTGTACAGACAGAGCTGAACTATTACATCTGTACAACGGGCATAACGATCTGTACAGCAATAGCTTGTGATTTAAAAAGATCAACTTCTTAGCCAAAATATTAAGTTCAACAAATAAAACTTGGCCATACATAGACATCACTAATTCTTCCCACTTCAGAACAAGTTTTAATAATATTTACATACCTAAAAGGAGACATTTATCTGAAATTTGTCTCCCAACATATTTCATATGAATGTCTACCCATTCCGAAAACAATACATTTTAACATACCAAAAAACGACCCCTGCCAAAATCCTCCTCCATTGATAAGACAAACTCCCAAAAAGGCATTACACATCTTTCTTACATTCCATAGCGTCAACCAAGTGGGTTGGTACACGTAACCCGATTGTGACCTACACCTCCACATCTTCCACACTTGTTAGGCTGTTTTGACTTATTATTCCCCTACATTGGTTAAGATGAATTGTTACACTTGAGTTATCACCGAACCTGTGGAATAAATTCAAATTTACTAACCTCATATTCCCCAACTGAATGTATCCGCAGCTTTGGGGGTCTCCCCGGGGGTCTTTTTGTTTTCGGAGGCATTAAACATAGAACTCTTATTTCCTCAGGAACATCCACCTCAGATGGATCGCGTACTGGGAGGATAGATTCTTGGACCGTTGGTGACCACATTTCCAGCCTATGCATCTCTCCAACCAACGTTCTGAATTCCAAAGCCCTATCATGAGCTGCAGCCATCGCATGAACACATGGAATTCTAATTTTTTGAAACTCCCAGCAAGAGCAAGTCTGTTGTTCCAAGGAGACGAGGAACTGTTCCCCATCCTTTGCGACTACTTCAAAATCCCACCTACCAACAGCCAAAACTGTCATCCCCAAACCACCTTTGAAACGTTTCAGCAGCTCCCTTTCAACAGCAATTGGAATGTCTCCGACAGTTCTAGCGATTTTCTTCCGACGCGATTCAAACCACCTCCCGAGCATTTTCCTTATAAATTCAAGCAATGCTACAACAGGACTACCCCTAGCTGGTAGTAAAGCATTGTTCAATGACTCAGCAATGTTACTAGACATCAAATTATACCTCTCCCCTGAAAAATGAACCCTACTCCAATTCGAAACCCCAATTGCTTCCAAATATTCCCAACACCCCTTATTCCTTCTCTTGATTCTTTCACAAACAACATTAAACTCTTTGAGACGAAACTTGTTACCTGCTTTCCATACTAGGGCTGGAAGCCCACTCTTCCTTCCATACTTTCCTTTAACATTCCTTCTTATGTGGACTAAGCAAGCTCCATGATGTGCTTCAGGGTAGACAAGTCCGACAGATTTGATTATTGATGAATTCCGATCTGAGACAAAGGTCAAGTCTGGTCCATCTTTAATTATTTCTGAAAGCTTACTCATGAACCAAGTCCATGATTCATCTGTCTCGCTGTCCACTATAGCAAAGGCCACTGGATAAATCTGAAAGTTCGCATCCTGGCAACTTGCTGTAAGAAGACAGCCAAGATATTTCCCAAACAGGTGGGTGCCATCTACTACAACGACTCGCCGTATATATTTTAACCCTTTAAGACATGCACCTAAAACTAGAAACACATACTTGAATCGCTCATCCCCAGTTTCATCCAACTCTGTTTCCAAATGATAAACTGTCCCAGGGTTTGCAAGTTGTAAGACATGGAGATATACCGGCAATAAGGTGAAAGAACTCTCATCCGTGCCCTGAGCTGTTTCAACACCCAGCTCTTTAGCTTTCCAACCTTTCCAATACGACATCCTAACATTGTGCTCCCTCAGCAGAGAATCGGGTAAGTCTCTTGCTCTTGGACCACAAAACGCCTTCGCATACTTAGCCCTTAGGAGTGCGACTACAACCTTGGAAGTTGCATGTTTTGAAAACCTACTCCTAGTCTCAACATTACACATATGTTCCAACTTGGCCTTCGTCACCTCGTATTCTTCACTCTGTCCAACTTGGTGTGCTACAACTCGCCAGTCACAGCATTTTTTATCATAACATTCAGCTACCAAGTACTTTTTCTCATACCTAGTAAATTTGAAGCGGAATACACGGTTTATAGCATATATTGACAATGCAGTCCTGAAATCTTCCCTAGACTCAAACGTCCTTCCAACATACATATTGTCATTCTCTTTGCTCAAGTCAACATGAGCTGATTTTCTATCCATATCATCGTCTCCAAACATTGGCTCAATGTCCTCATAACCATAAACTTCATCAATTCTTATCCCCTTCTGAAAAGTGTGAAGAAACTCTGTCATAACACCTCCTACACATGCAAGATTGTCAGTCCTTTCTTCAATTCCTTTCCCTTTCTCTTTCTGTCTGACTTTCTTTTTCGGGGGCTGCTCAACAAAATCATCATCCCCACTGTCTTCATCTGCCACAATTTCTCTACCAGCTTCAACCCTACCTACCGTGTTGTTCTCGTAATCGTAATCATCATCTTCTGATTGACTCCCTCCACTGTAAGAATAAGAATCATCGGAGTTTTCTGAACACTCTTCATCCCCACTGCTCTCCATTCCATCTTCCACTGCTACAGATGTGGTTAG